GCTTCGTCGTCACGTTGAGTCTGTGCAGAGCTGGTTGTATTCGGGTCTTGCTTGTTTACTTCGCAGGCCTCCAGATGGCCTCTCGAACGTACGTCGCTGACCCGAAGGTATTGAGGCCATCTCAAGATGGCCTCTCGAAGGTACGTCGCCTCTCTGGTATGGCCCAATCGGATTGCCAATCGCTGGCCCAGACAGAGGTCAGGTTCGCACGGCTTCGGGTTGCCAATCGTTGGCCCAGGGGCGCCCTAGACGGCTCAGAGGGCCCCAAGACGGCTCCAGAAGAATAGAAGATCTTACGCAGTTGTGTCTCGGTTACGCAGCTGTGTCCCGTGGAATCGCAAGTTTTTGTCGCCAGTCTGCGGCGGCTTACCGGCAGGGCAGGGAAGGAGGAATAGAGGGGGGGAAGGAACCGAAGAGGAGGAGGGGGAGGAGAAGGAGGAGGAGAAGGAGGAAGAGGGGGAGGAGGAGGAGGAGGAGGAGGGAGGAGGGAGGAGGAGGAGGAGCAGGAGGAGAGGGATGAGGAGGAGGAGGAGAAGGAGGAGGTAGGAGGAGGAGGACGAGGAGGAGGAGGAGAGGAGGAGGAGAGGAGGAGGAGGAGGAGGAGGAGGAGGAGTAGGAGGAGGAGGAGGAGAACGGCCAGAGGGGCCCGAGACGGGTCCAGAAGAACCGAAGAGTTTACGCAGTTGTGTCTTGGGGAATCGCAAGTTTTTGCCGCCAGTCTGCGGCGGCTTCCGGCAGGGAGGGGAAGGAGGAGGAAGAGGGGAGGGGAAGGAACAGAAGAGGAAGAGGGGGAGGAGGAGGAGGAGGAGGAGGAGGAGGAGGAGGAGGAGGAGGAGGAGGAGGAGGAGGACGGAGGAGGGATAAGGATGATGATGATGATGCTGATGCTGATGCTGATGATGATGATGATGATGATGATGATGGTGATGATGATGATGATGATGATGATGATGGATGATGATGATGCTGATGATGATGATGATTATGATGATGATGATCTGATTCATGATCATGATGATGATGCTGATGCTGATGACGATGATGATGCTGATCACTGATGCTGATGCTGATGATGCTGCTGATGAGGATGGTGATGATGCTGATGATGTGTGATGATGATGATAATGATATGATTATGATGATGATGATGATGATTATATGATGATGATGATGTGATGATGATGATGATGATGATGATGATGATGCTGATGATGATGATGATGATGATGATGGTGATGGTGATGGTGATGGTGATGGTGATGGTGATTTTGCTGATCATGGTGATGGTGATGGTGATGGTGATGATGATGATCATGATGATGGTGATTGTGATGGTGATGGTGACGATGACGATGACGATGACGATGAGGAGGAGGAGGAGGATGAGGTGACGATCGGGGGACCGCAAGGCTTTTCATTGGTTTGCGGCGGCTTTCGGCATAGCGGGGAAGGAGAAGGAGGAAGAGGGAAGGGAGGAAGAGAAGAGGAAGAGGGGAGGAGGAGGAGGAGGAGGAGGAAACGGAGGCCAAGCATCCGCTTCACGTTTGGGCAACGTCAAGGGGGAGTAGGAGGAGGAGGAGGAGGAGGAGGAGGAGGAGGAGGAGGAGGAGGGGGAGGGGGAGGGGGAGGAGGAGGAGGAGGAGGGCCAGGAATATTGTTAAGGAGGGTGAGGATGATGGTGATGATGATGATGATGATGCTGATGATGATGATGATGATGATGATGATGATGATGATGATGATGATGATGATGATGATGATAATGATGATGATGATGATGATGATGATGATGATGATGATGATGATGATGATGATGATGATGATGATGATGATGATACTGATGCCGATGCTGATGACGCAGCTGATGAGGATGGTGATGATGTTGCTGATGATGTTGGTGATGATGACTAGATGCTGACGATGTTGACGATGATGCTGATGATGATGATGATTGTGATGATGGTGATGGTGGTGATGCTGGTGATGCTGATGCTGATGACGATGATGCTGATGCTGATGATGATGATGATGATGGTGCTGCTTCTTCTGATGGTGTTTAGGATGACAAGAGTAATGACGATGATGATGAGGATGAGGATGATGCTGATGGTGATGATGAGTATGATGATGATGATGATGATGATGATGATGATGATGATGATGGTGCTGATGATGATGCTGACGCTGTTGATGATGGTGATGATTATGATGTTGATGATGATGATGATGCTGATGATGATGCTCATGATGACACTGATGCTGATGGTGATGCTGACGATGATGCTGTTGATGATGATGATGATGATGCTGATGCTGATGATGATGATGATGATGATGACTAGAATAATGACGATGAGAACGAGGACGATGATGCTGCTGATGGTGATAATGAGTATGAGTATGATGGAGGTGCTGATGCTGATGATGATGATGATGATGATGATGATGATGATGATGATGATGATGATGATGATGATGGTGATGGTCATGCTGTGATGATGAGGCTGATGCTGATGCTGATGATGATGCTGCCGATGATGATGATGCTGATGAGGATGATGTGGAAGACGAGGAAAGGGGGAGAGCAGGAGGAGGAGGAGGAGGAGGATAAGGAGGAACAGGGTAAATCTATATATTATAATAGTACGAAGAGAACGAAGGCGGAGGGGCATGTTGAGGAGCAGGAGGAGCGGGAATGGGAGGAGCAGAAGCAGAATGAGGGGGAGGAGCGGGAATGGGTGGATTATGACGACGACAACAAGGAAGATGACGGGCTCAAGGTATAATATTTGGAGGAAGACGGAGGAAGAGGAGTGACCTTTGATTTCGCGGGAGGTGTTTCGACAGCGGGTACAACAAGTTGTGGGAGGGCATCCCCGCGAATCTCAGGCGCGCGGCCGTTGGCACATGCTCGCGCAGATCCCCCCGTTGCCGCCGCCGCCGCTGCTTTTCCTGCCCAAGCCTGTCAATCGTGGTCGACAGCAGTGAGTTGGCAACCGCTCGCCAGGGCCCCGAGGTTGGCATGGCATTCTCTTGCGCACCCCTGCGCAGCCGATCCGATCCGATGTCGCGTTCGTGCCGATGCCGATTTCGAGGAGGAGGAGGAGGAGGCGGAGGAGGAGGAGGAGGAGGAGGAGGAGGAGGAGGTCGTTCCGATCCGACCCGATGCCCCGATTCGATGCTGACTGGTCCTGGCGGCCTGGCCTCGCAATTCGGGGGTGGCCGTAAGGATGCGGGAGCTCGCGAAGCGCCAGCAGCTCTGGCTGCCCGCCGCGGCACGCGCGTACCCACGCGTGCACGCTGGGCCCACTCGTGGGCCCTCAAGGTTTCAGGGGCGATGGGCTTCGATCTTCTGGCACACGAGGTTGGATGCAGAAGACAGAGCCGGAGGGGCCTGAGGCAAGAACAGGAAGAGGGAAGCGACGAGGGGGATGAACGAGCGGAGGAGGGAAACGAGACACGCGTTCTAGTGGGTTGTACCGCACCTCGGCTCAAAGTTCGACAGAGTCTGGGGCCAGAGCCACATTCCTGAGTAAATGGATCACACCCGCGAAAGCACCAAATCTGTCAGAAGTCAATGATAGCAATGCCTTCCGAGTTGCTTGTCGCGGTCTGCGACGCGCCCTGTCCAACCCCCTGGCTGCCATGATCGCACGTGTTCTTCCGGCGGAGCCTGCGCTGATATATATGCTCGCACTGCCACGCCGGGTCCAGCTGCAAGGACCAACGCCACGGCAGGTATGTCTTTTCGGACTGCAAGCGCGCCCCTCGAAGGTAGGTCATCGGTATTTGGCGGGAGCAGCATGTATCTATGTGTATATATATATACGTATGTGTATATATATATATATATATATATATATATATATGTCGATGGTGCCTCCTACTAGCCACCGCTGCTTCCCATGGCCGAGATACAGGACTTGATGGGGGCCTCTGAAAAGGCATACTTTGGGGCCTCGCGGGCTGATGATTCGTGGGGCCGTTTTGCCCTTCTTGTCGGCGTCTTCCCTCCCGGGCCGTGTTGGGGCCCTCGTCTTTCAGGGGGGCGGCCTTCGAGATCCGTAGGGGTCTTGCCTGTCATTCCCGGGCAGCCCCGGACCGTCTTGTGGCCTGCTGCGGAGCCGTCTGCAAGACGAGGGCGACCCCTGCTTTCGCAGGCCTCGAGGTCGACACCAGCACCGACATCGGCGGTGTGCCTCCACCGAGGGAAGGAGATCCCGATCTCGGCGATGGTGGTCACATTCTGGCCTCCGAGGTGGCCGAAGTACTACCACCAGCACCGAGGTCCAGGATCCTCTTCCCCCCTGTGGAGGCGCCGCCCTGCGCTGGTGCTGGAGGAGGAGGAGGAGGAGGAGGAGGAGGAGGAGGAAGGAGGGGGAGGAGGAGGGAGAGGAAGGAAGAGGAGGAGGAGGAGGAGGAGGAGGAGAAGGAGGAGGAGGAGGAGGAGGAGGAGGAGGAGGAGGAGGAGGAGGAGGAGGAGGTGTTGGTGCTGGCGCTGGCTCGGCGTGCCCGTGGCCCTTGGGGCTCGAGCCCGCCGACCCCCCGCGCGCAGCAGCCGGGCGCCGCGCCGCGCGGGCCAGCCGCTGGCCAGCCATGGCGCCGACCGACCGCTCCGACCGCGGCGCCGGGGCGGAGGAGGCCGCGGGAAGCAAAACACAAGACACACGAAGAACACCCACAAGCACACACACAAAGACACACACACACACACACACATACAAACAAAAAAACACAAACACAAACACACACACAAAACACACAAAAACACATATATATATACACACACACAAAAAAACACAAACAGAAAAACACACACACACAAAACACACAAAAAACACAAACACAAAACAACACAAACACACTTGTTTTTCCCACAGACGCTTCGCAGGCCTGGAGGTTGACACCAGCACCAAGATCGGCGGCGTGCCTCCACCGAGGGAAGACGATTCCGATCTCGGCGATGGTGGTAATGTTCTGGCTTCCAAGGTGGCCGAAGCATCACCACCAGCACCGAAAGCTAGGATCATCTTCCCCATGTGGAGGCAACCCCCTGTCTTGGTGTTGGTGCCCATTTCCAGGCCTCCAAAAGCTCCCCCCGGCGTCCTGAAAATCGGGACGACCGACACGGGCACGGAAAGAAGGGGCACAAGGACCGACAGCAGTTCTTGTTCATTTTGAACCGGATTCGCCGTCGGCGTCGCCGCGGAGTGTGTCCATTTGAGACAGAAGGCCGCCTGTCAAACAGCAGCCATGACAGGCGACCGCTCCGACCGCGACGCCGAGGCGGAGGAGGCCAATATACCCTGGCGTTAGGTCGGGCGTGTCCCCCTACAGGCGGATTCTGGGCGAAAAGGTAGACATACCCCCAACAAGACCCCAAACGTCTGCAAAGGTAGTCCAACTGATCGTTCCCAGACTATGCCTGTGACTGCTGGTGAATACTCCTCTTGTAGAGGGACAGGCCCGACTTCACCCTGGCGTCCCGAGAAGATCGAGGCTGCGGCTTTTCGGCCTTGCCGGCCTCTCGGGGGCCCCCGCGCCGGGCCTCGGGACCGTCAAAGACGCTCCGGGAGGAAGGGCCGGTCGCGGGGAGGTGGTCGAGAGGTCGGGGGCCTCGTCCTCCTCCTCCTCCTGCTCCTCCTCCTCCTCCTTCTCCTCCGCCTCCTCCTCCACCTCCTCCTCCTCCTCCTCCCTCCTCCTCCTCCTCCTCCTCCTCCTCCTCCTCCTCCTCTCCTCCTCTCCTCTCCTCCTCTCCTCCTCCTTCCCCTCTTCCCTCCTCCTCCTCCTCCTCCTCCTCCTCCTCCTCTTCCTCCTCCTCCTCCTCCTCCTCCTCCTCCTCCTCCTGCTCCTCTTGCTTCTCCTCCTCCTCCTTGCTCGGACGGCGCCCGCTGTGCACTTACGACGAGCTTGACCAGGCCTTCGCCACCTACCAAACCACCCCAACCCAACCCGACGGCTTCAACTTGCCCTCTATTTCCATTGGGGGTGGGGGTCGGGGAACATGGAAAAAACACATGGAACCCTTGCCCCCCCCCAAACCCGAAATTCGGGTCGAATTCGGGCCTTCGTGTTGGGTTGGGGTGGTCTGGTAGGCAGTCAGGCCTATCCTGGGCCAGGATCGGTGCACACGCTCTGTTACAGCCTGGCGAGGGGGGCTGGCCGAGCGCCGCGGCCGCCACCCCATTCCTGCGATTTCGCGACTCCGCGACAGCGGCCGGCCGCGGCGCGGAGCAGCGCTTCTGCCAAGCAACCGCCCAGCACGCGATGAACACTCGAGAGCGCGGGCTAGGTCCCTGACTTCCTCTGCCGCACCCAAGAGGCTGAAACATAAGGAACAGCTCGGGCTCGGAAGGGGCTCGATGCTACTTCGGTTCTTCCATGGCTGTCTCTCGAGCGCTCCTCGCCCACGCATGCGCCAAGGGGCTTCGTTCGTTACTGAGCGTTCATGTTTCGAGCAGCCCGACTGCACGCTCCCGTATAGCCTGGCGACGAGGGCATATACGCCGATCCTGGGCCCAGGATGAGCCTGGCCAGGATCAGAGTAGATGTATATACCGTTAGGTCTGACGTTGCAGAAAAGTCGCAACATCGCAACAAATCGCAACCGGAGCCCCAGACTTTATCGCTCTGCGTCACGTTTCGAGCCGGACCGATCTGTGAGGGTCCCAGGGCCCGAAGTTGAGCGCAAACGTTTGGTGTGAAGAAATTTCAAGGCCAGGATTCCAGGGCAGTTGGCGCCCTCCGAGGTGCCTCGAAGAAGTCGGGGCGGCGGATGCCCCCAGACATGCGACGTTTAGAGTGTCTCCATAACGACGACCCCCTGAGGTCTGGATCCGTTCTCCGTGACCGGCTTTGACTCCCGAGTCGTTTTTCGGCGGCCCCGAGGCCCGGCGATGGTCCACACAGGCCTCCTCCTCTGCCTCCTCCCCCTCCGCCTCCTCCATCTCTTCCTCCTCCTCCTCCTCCTCCTCCTCCGCCTCCTCCTCCTCCTCCTTATCCTCCTCCTCTGCCTCCTCCTCCTCCTCCTCCGGCCACCTCCTTCTCCTCCCCCCTCCTTCCTCCTCCTCCTCTTCTCCCCTCCTGCTCCTCTCCTCCTCCTCCTCCTCCCCTCCTCGTCCTCCCCCCTCCGCCCTCCTCCTCCTCCCCCTCCGCCTCCGCCTCCTCCTCCTCCTCCTCCTCCTCCCCCTCCTCCTCCTCCTCCTCTCCTCCTCATCCTCCCTCCCTCCTCCTCCTCCTCCTCCGCCTCCTCCTCCTCCTCCTCCTCTCCCTCCCCTTCCTCCCTCCTCCCTCTCCTCCTCCTCCTCCTCCCCCCCTCCTCCTCCTCCTCCTCCTCGTCCTCCTCCTCCTCCTCCTCTTCTTCTTGCTTTTCCTCCTCCTCCTCCTCCTCCTCCTCTTCGCCCTCCTCTCCTCCTCCGCCTCCTCCTTCTCCCTCCTCTCCTCCTCATCCTTTTCCTCCTCCTCCTCTTTCTCCTCCTGATCGTCCTCTTCCTCCTCATCCTCCTCCTCCTTATCCTAATCCTCCTCTCCTCCTCCTCCTCCTCCTCCTCCTCCTCCTCCATCCCTCCTCCTCCTCCTCCTCCTCCTCCCTCCTCTCTCCTCTTGCTTCTTCTCCTCCTCCTCCTCCTCCTCCTCCTCCTTCTCCTCCTCCTCCTTTGGCCGACAGAAGGCGTGACGCTGCCAGTTCGACCTCCTCCTCCTCCTCCTCCGCCTCCTCCTGCTCCTCCTCCTGGTCCTCTGCGAGAGGAGTAGTTGGCTGCCTGCCAGCACGAAAAGATCGGGGGTGGCTGATTGGAGGGGCGACTCGCCCGGACCGCCTCGCTGGGAAGAGGAGAGGAGGAGGAGGAGGAGGAGGAGGAGGAGGAGGAGGAGGAGGAGGAGGAGGAGGAGGAGGAGGGAAACGAGGGAAGCGAAGCCAGAGGAGGGACGGCGGTAGGTGGAGCGAGGAAAGAAACTGCTCGAGCAGCTGCTCGAGCAGCTGCTCGAGACTACGCAGCTCGAGCAGCTGCTGGGGAGGCCATGGAGCTGCTGCCCGAGCAGCCGCGGCGCGCGCGCCTCAGCCGACCGGCGAACGCCGCCGCGCTCCTCGTAGCCCTCGCCGCGGCAACGGCCGCCTTGCTCCTCCTCGCGCGCGGCGGCCCGGGGCAGGCGGGCCACTCGTTAGTGCGGCTGGCCGCGCAGGAGGCCACCTCGTCTTCCTGTCGCTCGGGGGCCTGCTCCTCTGTCTCCCTCTCCTCCTCCTCCTCCTCCTCCTGCATACCTCCTCCTCCTCTTCCTCCTCCTTGTTCCTCTGTTCATCCTTCCTCATTCCTCCTCTCCTCCTCCTTCTACCTCATTCCTCACCTTCCTCCCTTCGCCTTCTCTTTCTCTTTCTCTTATCCCTCTCTCCTCTCCCTCCTCCTCCTCCTCCTCCTCCTCCTCCTCCTCCTCCTCCTAGCCGCCGCCCGGCCGCGGGAGCGCGCCGGCCCGGCCAGCGCAGCGCTCCCCCTTTGACGGCGCGCCCCTCTTCTCGCAGAGGCCAGGTGGGGGAGGTGCGGAGCTGCTCATCACACTGATTACATTTCGGGCGGGCAATGTCATGCGGATCATATCTTACAATCGTCTCTCCGCCAGCTCGGTCGAGCGTCTCTCGGACATTAGCACGGAACTACGGACGTGGGATGTCGTACTTGTGTGTGGCACGGGTGAGATGACGATTGCATAGCCATCTAGGTGTGTGACGATCCCTAGCCATTGGTGTATTCGTATGGGTGCGCGCAAAGGACGGTTTGTCACGAAAGCCTGCGGTCTTGCATTCCTGGTACACAAAAAATACCCGACCCACTGCTTGCGGGAAATCTACCAACCCCCTGGACTACTGCAGGGACGGGTCGGAGGAATTAAACTGGCGCTTTCTTCCTGCGAAGGGGCTCTCGTCTCGACGTACTACGCACCTACGCATATCAAGAACTATGGGGAGGTGGGGAGGCGTATTAGCGAGTGGTTGGAGGGAACGACGGACAGGCTAGGAGCACGCACGCTGACGGTTATTGGGGGGGACATCATGTCCGACTCTGGGCTTCACGGTTTGTCACGAAAGCCTGCGGTCTTGCATTCCTGGTACACAAAAAATACCCGACCCACTGCTTGCGGGAAATCTACCAACCCCCTGGACTACTGCAGGGACGGGTCGGAGGAATTAAACTGGCGCTTTCTTCCTGCGAAGGGGCTCTCGTCTCGACGTACTACGCACCTACGCATATCAAGAACTATGGGGAGGTGGGGAGGCGTATTAGCGAGTGGTTGGAGGGAACGACGGACAGGCTAGGAGCACGCACGCTGACGGTTATTGGGGGGGACATCATGTCCGACTCTGGGCTTCACCGAGCCAGCGACGGGACTCTCCAAAAGACGGTTGCGAGTTGCCTGGGGCCCCTTGCGACAGCGTTTGAAAATGATAACGGACAGCACTTTCGTCAGTTCTGCCAAACCAGCGACTTCATAGTGGCTACCACAACCCACGACCCAGGCCCTACCTTCTTCGGCCCCAAGGGCGGAACAAGCCGAATTGACCACTTCGGAATCCCGCAAGGCGCAGCCCACCTGGTTCAGAAATGCATAGCACCCCACACGTCTGGGAAGCGGTTGCAGCTTATCCAAGCTAAAGGCTCGCGGGACCATGCGCCGATTGGGTTGGTAATCGATATGCGGATCCGACATGCCCCGACCAGTCGACCGACGCCCGAGGACCGACTCGACAGGGACCAGCTCATGTCTTGCTCGAGGAGAGGATTTAAGAGGCAGGAGGTGCTGGATAGGATAGAGGAGGAGCTGAGCAATATCGAGGAGGAGGAGTGGAGGGAGCTGCTAGACGGACCGACCCCAGACCGAACGTGGCAACGGTACGGGGATGCAGTCAGGACAGCAGTACACCAGATCTTCGGTGCCGAACGCCAGAGGGCGGATGTGCGTTACCTTGCCTTGCAGGCTCAACGGACGCATCTGTTGGCACAGAGACGCACTATCAGACAGCGCCTGGGCCCTGGGATCTCCGACGAGCAGCTCGAGCAAGTGAAAGCGCAGCTACGGGATGTCACGAGTGTGCTCATCCAGATCCGAGAGAGTTATGAGGCCCAGCGAAAAGCCCGACTGGTCGAGGAGATTTGGGAAGCGTCCGAGCGGGGGGATTTCGCCGAGATGCGCCGGCTTAGGACCCAGTACCAGGCGAACGGTCGCGGGCCCCAGCGCAGGTTCGTCTTTGCCCCTCGCACGCACTGGTCTGCCGAGCAGTGGGTGAACGAGCTAGCGAAGAGCCCGCGCGACGGAGGCCTCAGTGCGCAGGTCATAGATTTGGACCAGCAGCTGCTAGAGCGGGAAGCACACTACTCCCAACTGATGCCACTCCCCGTAGACCGCGACATCCGTTGCCGAGCTGCTGAAGACCATGCCGCTATGCTATGCTATTGCAAAAAGGCCAAAAAGATAAGGGCCTGGCCTGCATGGGGCCTCCCTGTGGAAGTCACGCTCCTCTTACTAGACCCTCGAATCAACCTAGGTGATCCGACAGTGTCAGGAGCGCAGGCACGAGCGACGCGGGAGGAGGAGGTAACGCAGCATACTATCGAGCGTCGGTTGCAGAAGGGGAGGGCACTACTGGAGCGGTTGGGATGGACAGGAGGAGGCCTGGGGACGAGAGGAGGTGCGCCGACGGATCCCGCCAGCTTAGTAAATATCTGCACCGCGGGAAGGGGGCCCAGAACTGGACTTGGCGTTCCGCAGTGGGGTCAAGACAACCGCGCGGCGGCGAGGAGATTCCTGGATGTGCCGATGATGTGTCGAAGTACCCAGACCACCCCCCTTGCGTGGCATAGGTCCAAGGCGTTCGGAGCAGATAAGAACGACGGACGACAGGGGGTACTAGGGAAGCGCATCATGCACGCGCACTGCAGTGTAGGCATGCCGTGGCACGCGGGCATACTCAGACGCGGCGCACCATGTCAGCATGCGGCATGGGCGCAGGGTGGGCGACCGCACCGATCAGGGAGAACGCTCTTGCCACGCTGATGGCGACGAAATGGAAAGCTGAGCAACTCGGATACACTCTGTTTGCACTGACGGTGATTGCTCTAACGCGTTTGCCTCTACTGATAAGCGCCTCCTGCACGCAGTTGCCTTCAAACAAGCTGACGAATGGGACCGAGTGCATTCTGTGGGGGGCCATCGACACGACCGCTATGACGATAGAAACACCCACGGAAGCCGTCACAATGTCACAATGGAGACCCTCTCGGGAGCCCAGATGGGCTTCACGTTGGCGCCGAGGCAATTCAATGACAGCTACAACTTACATGTGCAACAATGGAACGACGGCGTGCGAAGCGATCCCATGCAAAAAGCTGCGCGACACCCAGCACCCCATTACCCACCAGGTGCACGACCTAAGCCTCAACACGTTCATGGACGATCTCACCAAGACTCACATCCTCCCCGCTGGGGCGTCAGCGACCCATGTCACTGCCCACCTGAGCCAGGCCGCGCAAGAGCTCGAGACAACATTGGCCATGGACAACTGGAAGCTCAACCCCGCCAAAACCAACCACCACCTCTGCCTCCGAGGTCAGGGGAACTACAGTTGCACCCGCAAGTTGCGCCGTTCAAAGGAGCTAAAGGGCATTTCCCTCAGGGAAATGAGGGTGCTGGGGGCCGTTTATTCCGTCCGATCAAGGCCTCGCGGGGGAGATCAAGAAACGGTGCGACGCGATCCGCCTCGCCTGGAGGCAAGGCGGCACCTTCTGGAGCTCCAAGAACAGCTTCGCAGTTAAACGAATGATGTGCGTTGCGTTTGTGTACGGAGCTGGCCTCAGCGGCTTAACGGCAATGGTTCTCAGCCCGAGCCGCGCTGCAGCCCTAGACGCTGTGATCGGAAAAGACTTGCGCACGCTCGCACGAGGCATGATGTCGTGGACACGAGCGGACGGCACAGTGCGATGTTACAGCACAGCCCGCGTTTTCAGGGAATGGAGGCTCGAGAGGACAGAAGGCGCTTTGCGAGCACGGCGGCTGGAATGGCATCAACAGTGGGCTAAGTACCCAGCAGCCCACGGCAACCTGATTGCAGCTATCTTTGGCCTCAGTGCGATGGAGCAGTTGGCTGGTGTTACACGGATGTTGCCAGGGGGATGGGTGGGGCCTTACTCCGCACCTATGGCTCAACAGTTTCGGCTCGACTTAGATTTGCTAGCAGAGCTGGGCGAAAATATGCACGCTTGGTACGAGGACCGTACGTCGGATCTCGCCATAATTACACCAAACCGAGGAGTGGCGGCAGTGGCTACGCGTCGACACGAGTATATTGCGTAGTGCAGCGCAGCGGGGAGGAGGCGAAGCAGAGGGAGAGGGCGAGACGGTGGAGGAGCAGGAGGAGGCCCTCGCGCGCCCTTTTTGGTGCGATCACCCGTGCGTCGACGACGGTGGAAGGGAAACAGTATGCGGGAGGAGGTTTAGGACAGCACAGGCACTACAGGCACACAAGAGAGGAGTGCACAACCTTCGCACGCTGCTCACAGTGCTTGTTACCACCAAACAATGCCCCTGGTGTCTCAGTGTATTCCTCAATCGAAAGACGGCGATCGATCATTGTCACAGGGCTGTGGGACGTCATGGCACGTGCTATGACGACCGCAGCAAATGGGCCCACGAACTATTGGAACCAGCCTCCTTGGAGTGCGGCCTCTGTGGGCACGAGGCCCAAGACCTATTCTCATTCCAGTGCCACGTTCGATCTCATCACGAAGGCCCCCACTCGGTCAGAGAGCGCACTTGCCATGGCGGCGCTGGCACCGAGAGCGGATTGGCAGCTGGCTGGCAAGCGCGGCGCAAGCAGCGACCTGCGAAGATAACGCCGCTCGGCGCCGGCAGCATCGGCAGCGGCAAACGGCGGTGGAGGGGGGCAGCAGCCACCGCGAGGACGCGGCGACGACCCCGACCACAACGACGACCGCCTGCTCGCGACGATGAAGCTCGCCCTGCGAAACGCAAAAGACATGAGGGAGGCGACGCACGTGCTGTCCGACTTCTGGCTCATCCCAGCGCAGGCCAGGGTCTTCCAAGCGGGCCTGCAGGCAGCCAAGAAGTACGCCACGGAGGTCCGCTCCCGCGGGAAGAAGCATGGCTTGGGCCCCCCGCACGTGCACGTGGCCATCGAA